ACTATATAATTACTACTACTACTACAACTAGTAGTATTATAGTAGGTTAGGTTAGGTAGTTAGTTAGTTAGTTCGTACTAGTCGTACTATAGTACTACACACACACACACACACACACACACACACACACACACACACAGTTTAGGCATTTGATATTTAGGTGTTTAGTGTGTTTTATGTGTTCATTGCTTAAAGACTAAGACACAAACACGTGCATACAGTTTAGCCATTTGATATATGGTGGTTAGTGATTTATGCGTTTGATGCTTAGAAGCTACATTTGTACAACTTACACATACTGTTAGGTGATATATGATAAATGAAGTTGTAAAGGCACTTGTGCATTCTATTCTTAAATTTTTGTGTGTGTGTAGCATTGGATAGCAAGTACAGAGTTTATGGTGACTCTTGTTTGTGATTTCAGACTTAAATTAGTTTTTGACTTTCATAAATATTTGATGTTTTTTTTTAATTCTGTTTCCTTAATATAATTCATTCTTAACAAATATTAAATATTCAGTCTACACATTTGTTAATTAATTATGCATAATTTTTAAAATAACTTTGTAATGTGCATGCATTTTTTTATATAGTGTATATGTACATCTGTGTTTACAATATAATATTTTTCAGGTCCCATCAGTTTAGCTCTGTACATGTCTGACTCAGAAGTTCAACAGTTTCTAAGTTACACTTTAAGTTCAGAAGTCCTTCGAAATCGCAAAAATGTTGGTTATCATATTGTGTACCGAGAAGGGGTAAGAATGTGAACTTGTATTTGAGAAAAATAATTTTTATTTTCTATTTTTCTATTGGAAAGTAGTAAAGCTGTTGACTATCATATTGTTTATCCTGATAGGGGAGCACTATTTGTCTTCGTACTTATACAAAGAAAAGTTAAAAATTATTCTCTGATATTGTGTATCAAGAACAATATATTTAATGCACAGTGAAACATGTTTCTATAAATATGATGGCTTTTAAGTTCTTATATTCTTTTTTTTTTTTCCAATGAGTAGAAGAATAAAAAAACTCAAGATTAACATCAGTCATTATGTAATAAATTGTTATAATTTTGAGTATCCTTGTGGAATGAGAAAGAATGAAAAAAAATCCATTAGCAACAATAGGCTTAGAAAAGTAGGGCTAACGACTTTTTTTATTTCATTAGTAGATATTAATGTGATATTTCATGTGAATAATTTTCCTATAATTACAACTCGTATTCAAGTAGAAATTTATAGCTTCAAAATTAGTGTTAAATCATTTTTGTTAATAGTTTATAGGAAAACAAAAATGCTTTTTGTGCCACATTACTAGCTCTTTGATAGTTGCTCATATTTTTTCATGTGCCGTTTTCGTTCAAAGAACTTAATGTCAAGTATCTACAAAGTTTCACTTAAAAACTAAGGTAACTTTTTAAGGTCTGTTCAACAATTTAAGTTGAACATTATATTACACCCTCAAAAATTAAAACATGGGGAAAGATAACATATAATTTTGATTTTTACAAGTATGTCTTTTTGGTTTAAGAAATAATAGAAAAAGAAAATTTAGTCATTATTTCTTGACATTGGCTAGATGTTGTATGATTTGTAAACGAGTTCAGCTGTTTATGTAATCTAATTTTAAATATTAAATGCAGTCTTTGATTTCTTTGATTTTTTTTTTTCAGCCTTTTTATCCGGTAAATCTTTTGAGAAATGTGGCCTTACAACAGGTCACGACCCCTTTTGTTTTCCTCACCGATATTGACTTCCTTCCTATGTATGGATTATACGACTATATGAAAAAATCTATTTCTGCACTGGGATTAGAGTCTTCTAAGAAAGTTAGTTGTTATTTTGTTCTATTATTGTTAAATTCTTGTGTTACACTGTAAGAAATTATTTGTTGCTATGTTTAAACCAAACAGTGTAAAAATGAGTTCATGATATTTTAGAATTGTTGTTAAGTTTTTACTGGCTGATAAAGTCAGTTTTTGCATGTAGTAATCATGCTGTCAGACAACATCTAGTATCTAGTATCTTAGCCTCTGCAATTCAGTATGATAATCAAGTACATCCTTGAAAATGACATACGTGATACGTCGAAACTAGTCAGGGTAATCATCTTCATATTTTGTAAGTTTGTGTTTGTTCTTCATTACTTAATTTGTGTTTATAAAGCTGTTAATCTTTACAACAATTTGCTGTGATATTCTTTGACTTTGCTTTAATAATAAACTTGTTTGTATTCAATCTACAACTGCTAAGTTATATAAACTTACTAATGTACTACAACTTTGTCAGGTTAGAAGGTGTTGATGTTATAGTGTTAGTAGACAATTATGTATATCTTAAATTCGTAAAATACAATCTCTAATACTTACATTTTTACAGTAATTTTAGTTGTTTAAATAATAATTCTACTAGGCACTTATTGTTCCTGCTTTTGAAACTCAAAGATATCGGCTATCCTTTCCTAAGTCCAAAGCTGAACTTCTTTCCATGCTGGACATGGGTACATTGTTCACCTTTAGGTAAGCTAATTTATTTATAATATTTAATATTATAATAAATTAAACATTTATTATTATTCTCTCAGTTTATGTAAAAATATCCTTCCTAATCAAAGTTTTCAAAACAAAAGCCTTTTTGTTTTAATGATGGCTTTTTCGTATTCTGTGTTTCAGATAACTAATGACTGATAATATTTAAACAAAAAAGGTAACATAAGTAAAATATTTAGTATTATAGCCAATTAAACATTATTGTAATATCACAATTAAATTTTAACCAGCTTTATTGAACTAATATGTAGTTTATCACTGTATTGTTAATGAAACTCTATAGATATCACGTGTGGACCCGTGGTCATGGGCCTACTAACTATGCCAAATGGAGAACAGCTACCACTCCATACCGAGTTTTGTGGGAACCTGATTTCGAACCTTATATTGTAGCTTCCCGAGATCTTCCTGAGTATGACAGACGTTTTGTGGGGTTTGGATGGAATAAGGTGTCGCATATCATGGAGCTTTATGCACAAGGGCAAGTAATTCAGACTTTTTAAACACTTATGCTGCTTAACTTGGAAACTTGTAAGCATAAAATTATAGTTATTCAACAGTGATTAATATAAGCAAAAAATTGGATTTTACTTGTAGTTTAAAGGTCAATTATGTGGCTTTGTCTTCTAAACATTTTTCTGTGTTTAAATTTGATGTGTCATGTACATTTTTGTGGTAGCTTTCAGGTTTCTGATTTAAAATTCTTTGCTTCTATGTTAAGTAGGTTTTGTATCTTTTAGTTGATATTCTGAGCTGAAAAGACAGGACTAAAAAAAAAAGAAACTTGGGAACAGATATTCATTAATCATTGTACTAAATTTATCCTGTTTAGCTCCATGCAGATGACTGGGTCAAAGTGCATATGTCACAACCTTTTACATTGTTATGTTCTAAGATTAAGCAAGCAGCTTTATTATTAATGTATGTCATCACACTTGGCATCAAAACATAGTTGATAATTCAAATGTTCATATTATATTTATATAAGTTTTAATTTCTTAGTTTCAAAGGGAAATATTAAAACAAATCCTTAGTCTTCACTTCTGTAGGACCCCTATTTAATTTCATATTGATAGAATTCTTGAAAACAGTGTATCTTTCTTTTCAGTATTAGTACCTTTATGTATTTTTATTGCAATTTTAATGTTTATATTAAGAAGAAATAAAGAATAGAAACACAATTTCCTATCCTTTGATACAAAAGAGGTTCTATTTTACCTACCCAATGGACGGGTACTCCAGCTAGTAAAACTATAAGAGATAGCAAGAAAATGGCACCAATCTTCCTAAGACTTCTTGAACACATGAAAAGATTTAGTATTACTTTATGCTTTATTTATAAAACCAACCTCTGAGAATATTAGTGTGCAGTTACAGTAAGGAAGGTAGCGATTCAAGAGATGAATACAAATATATATATATATATAAAACCAATTTTTCTTCAAATATTAAAGAAAAAGCAGCATTCAGTATGCTTAATTTAGTATGTTTTGCATTGAAGTTATCCTTTGATTTTGAGTTTTATAATTCAGAGGTTAATAATAATAATAGTTTTTTGAATTGATACTCAGTTTATATGTATGAGTTTTAACACTTTTTATGGTTAGTTTGGCATGTTGTGGATGCTGAAGATTAATTTTTATCTTTCTGAAATTTTAGAAAGTTGTGGATATCAGTATCATAAGTATCAAGAATTTTAAGTTAATTTTTAAATATAACTGCTAAATCTATCACATTTGTATTTAGTGAAGTGAATCTTACAGTATCATCATTCTCAAGGCCGACTATGTGATATGTTATTCTAAGGTTTTCAGTGTCTTGTTATTCACTTCTAGTCTATAAACTTCTAAAATATCTGTAATTGATACTGTTTTGTTGCTATTAGAGGAAACTTGCCTAAAAGCATAAAATTTTATCTTTTATAAGATAAGTTTAGGCTGTTTTTTCCTTTAAAAATTATATATTCCTATTGTTGTCTAGTAAATCACTTATTCAAAGTATATTCTAATACTTTAGATATAATTTTAATTGCTGATTTTATTTAACTTTAGATATTGGAGACAGATGTATTTGTAATCTGGACAAATACAAATTTGAAAAAAATAGATATAAATTCCAGTGATGTGCAGTGGGTTTTCAAGTAGATCATGCAGTAGTAACTTTATTAATGTAATTTACCTCCAGAATAAAAACAGATATATGGAGAACAGGTTTACTCACCCTATTTGTAGATGAAAGCCAGCCAATACATGGTAGCAGACGATATCACTGAAAATGAAAGAAATAATAATAATAATAAATAGATCACAAAATCAAGTGAAGCAAAGCATGCAACCTGTACATTGTTGAAGTTGAACTCCTTCCAGCAGTATTCTGTTTGCTGGAGTGACATTGCCACTAGTAAAACCATGCAAGTCATGCTGCATTAAGATAGCATGACAGATAGTGCATACACTGACATGATTGAGACTAAACATGTAGATCTCTTGCAGCATGAGATGAAAATTCTGCCACAGCACAAAGAAATGCACAATATACAAATGGTAAAATAATATTAAAATTAATAATGATAATGAATATAAAAGATGCTTATCATTATATAATTTTATCACCACATTTTGTTTTGGGCTTTGTAATGCAGTGCATGACTTGCATGCCACTGATAAATTCCAATTCTTAGATTCTTGGCTTAATCTTTTGTGTACAAGCTTGGTCATTTTTGAGGAACCTTGAAATCACCATGTAACTGTGAAACTATACATACTATAGCTTTTAATTTAGTAAGAGTATCTTCACAAGTTTAACTAGTTTTTATTAAACATTCCAAGTCTTTCATACTCCAACAATCAGATTTTTTTAATTAATTATTTTTACTAAAATTTGTCTGTGAACTTGTGGAGTCAGAGTCTTACTAGTGTGAGTGCAAGAGGATTTTCGTGTTAATATGAAAAAAAAAGTATTTTTAATTTTAAAATTCTTAAATTTCCTTTGCATAACCTCTATGACAGTAGAGAATTTCTACTGTAACCACAACATTGAGTTACCAGCACTCAAACAAATTTCAATAAGCTCGTCCTATTGAGTTTTTCATTTATCTAATGTAATAAATCTCTAATTTTACATTTTAGTTACTTTTATTACAATAAATAAAAAATAGAAATAAAAGAACAAGAAATTTAGTGCTTATGTGTGGGACTTTTTTGATTTTCACGTTTTATAGGAGTGTTGTTAGTACATCACTTAATTTTTCTGTATTTTGGATATGTAATTTAGAATACAAAATATTAACATGCAACAGAGCAACAATATATTAAAACTATTATAGTTTAATTGACTTTATAACTAAGCTATATGTGCATTTAAATAATTTCCTTATCCGGTTGAGGTGATCTGGGTGATTGCAACCATGAAATAGATGCAAAATAATCATAAGAAAAGTGGTAAGTTAAAAGCTTTTTTTTTCTATTGGTTGTAAATAATCCAATACCAAATGTCGGAGAGAATGATCGATATTTTTTGAAGACAGCAAGAAGAATAGAGGCCATAAATTTCCATTTTAGCTCGGGAATAATGTACAAGTATGTGAGCCCTTGTGAACTTTGAAAATAATACAGAGATGGATGGAAACTCTAAAATGGCAATTCAGAGTGAAGAAGTATTGCATGATGTATAAAATGAAGATGAAATTATTGATATTTGGGATATTGAGAATGATTGATATTTTTTAAAGACAGCAAGAAGAATAGAGGCCATAAATTTCCATTTTAGCTTGGGAATAATGTATAAGTATGTGAGCCCTTGTGAACTTCAAAAATAATACAGAGATGGATAGAAACTCTAAAATGGCAATTCAGAGTGAAGAATTATCGCATGATATATAAAATGAAGATGAAATTATTTAAATATTAATTTTTCTAAATTAAAACTTAAAACTTAAATTATGAACTACATTTTGATGTCAAGTTAATTGATATAAGTTGATGATTAACTTTTTTGATGAAATCTTTAATTGTTACTATGTAAAAGGGTTATGACATGCGCACTTTGACCTACCCCTTATACGTAGGGTTAAAGGGCTGTTTGGTTTGTAATGTAATGTTATCAAATTACATGGTTTCTGGTATTGGCTTGTAATAAAAGTAACTCGTCAGGTATCATGAATTATTAGATTTTTTAAATTTTAATGAATTTGCATGTTTATCAGTATGGTAACTAAACTCGGCTTTTTGTTGTGTATTCAGTTCACAAGTATCATTTGATACGCTGTGGTCTTTTTTTTGCATCCAAGCCTCTTCTTATAACATTAGTTAAAGTTTTATAATTTTTATTGAGGTTTTAAAAACCTATGCAGGAAATTAATAGTAAGGTTAATATAATGAATATTGGTAAGTTTTTCTCAGAATCTAATGAACATGACTCTCCATTGTATAAGTTATTATTGTTTTTAGTAAGTGTAATAATATATTTATTACTAGTATTATAAAATATTACAGTTAATTTCAATATTTGATACATACAGTGGTGAAATTCTCAAAAAAAAAAGTAGAGGTACTCAGCTGGGTGAAGTGTACCTGTTTTTGAAAAATAAAAATAAAATCCGTGTGTAAATGACAAAGCAGCTCAAATAAGTGTCAGTATTAGTACCATCTCAAAAAAATAAGCTCCGGTACTTAGTACCGGTGAGTACTGGCAGAATTTCACCCCTGGATACATAAGCTAGCTAGTGATTGTCTAGGTGAAACAGAATAAAATTTTTGAATCGTTATTTGATACAATTGCTAGTAGTCAATATGAACTTCTATCAGTTAGGGACTCTAGATACGTGAAAGCACACAAAACACACATTTGTTTCAGACAGACGTTCTATTTGTTTATTTTCACAAATTGTCACGACTGAAACGAAAGGAATGTTTATAGTTTTCATCTATGATTTTTTTTCTTCTGTCTTTCAGGTTTGAGTTCATTGTACTTCCTAATGCTTTCATTGTGCATATGCCTCATGCACCAAGTTTCGACATTGCAAAGTTTAGATCAAGTTCTCAGTATCGGAAGTAAGCAGAGCATCTTCTTCATTTTTTAACGTATATTTCAAAGTAAAATAATTATTAACTAAAAGTACCAAAGGTCAGTCAACAAACACTGGCTGATCTTGTTTCTTGTAACGTTCTTGAAGCTTGTGTTTTTACAAAGTGGTGTAATATTCAGTTTTGACAGTTAAAAATTTCATGTGTGTTATAAAGAACTTATTGTTGGAACATTTTTAAGAACACAAAATTTAAAGTTTTTGAAAAAAAAACAACAATTTTACTAATACTGAATGAGGCACTTACATACAATATGTGTACAGAGGTTGAATACATTATGTTAAAACAATTTTGAATATACAAATCAGCAAGTAACTTGACAACCACAGCCACTATAAAGTCACAATGGAACAGAATGTATCAGAACTATATTTTGACATTCTTTATTTTGCAGATTTTGTGATGTCACTAAAAATTAATCACTTTGGGGAAATGGTATGTAACAGTCCTCTTTAATACAATATATTCATACACTCAGATCATAAAGATGTGTTTGGGTCAGGGATTTAAAGAAGGATGTCACTTGTATTTAATGGCACTGGGAAACAAATGAGTATGGGTCAACTTGGGGTACTAAAACTATCCAAAAAGAGACCTGCATCAAGTATTTCCCAAACTGTGGTCAGCAAGATAAGACTTCCAGTCATAACTGTCATATACCTAGAGCAGGTGGATAATGAAATGGGTATTCATGATAATCCCTACAAAGACATACCAGTCAAATTGTCTATGGATTTTTGTTCATTCAGACTGTTGAAGTTGGTGCTGGGAAATTGTCTTCCTCGCACACTAGACAAATTATGGAAAGTGTACAGAGAAGTGTGGTGTGCATTGTACATAACAAACCTTATGATAGAACCATTTGAAATGAAGATTATGCTGTGTGATGCATGGTTGTTAGATAGAGCATGACTGGTGACATGCACACTAATGATATGGTGAGGATTCAACATTATTTTAGTGTATAATGGACTCTGTTTATATTGAATTAATGTAACATGTTATATGACACTTCATTTTGTTAATGCCATATATTTTTACAGGTGTTTGAAGATTTTGAAACAGGAGTTTGTCAAGGATTTGTCACAGAGGTATGGTAAACAGTTCACTGTTGAGAGACGCAAGTTAAAAAGGTAACAGCACATTTTTTTTTTTTTCATGAAATGTGGTTCTCTCTTAAATCATCCAGTACAGTGGGATATTGGTGCTTACATCTTGCAGTTCCTTGGTTACCATATGTGGATCCTGTAACATCGTTCTCAAACAAATATTGGATTTATACTCAAAATATTAAATTATGTATCAGAAGAAGAAAATTTATTGTGAGTTTTTAAGCCTCCTCACTTTTTTTCTCTAAAGAACTAGTGAACTACGTCTGTTAAATCACTCGAGTACTCATCCTACGACATTGAAAGGAGCAATTGTTGAAATTACCGTCATTGTGGCATCAGTATATATAAAAACTATGTTATGAATACAAAGTACTGTTAAACTGACCAGAAACTAAAAGAAGTATTTCATGGAAGAGGACAATTTGTAATATAAATCAGTGGCAAGTACATCCTTTCATTTCATCAGTATCCTGTAGCTGTCCAAACAAATCTAATATCAGTGTATGATTGTCAGTACTTCATTGTTTGTTTGTTATTAAGCACAAAGCTACACAAGGGGCTCTCTGTGCACTGCCCACCACGGGTATCGAAACCCGGTTTCTAGCGTTGTAAGTCTGCAGACATACTGCTGTGCCACTGGGGGGCCAGTACTTCATATTAACAACTGTGTAAGATGTGCTAAGTGAAAGTTGCTATTCGTTAATGTAATCCTTTCTGTTCATCAGACGTCGAAATTGTTTTAACGGTGATATAAAAACGCGTGTTTCTCTTAGGATACGGAGAATTTTACATCAAAATTATTTAAGTCCTGATGTTGTTATATTTTCAGCCATTGTTTTTAATGTCAAAACTCATAACTTTAATGGTTGTCTTTCCATAATAACTTTTTATATAACAGATTTGCAATAAATTTGTACCCCAAAATATTTTAACAGCCAGTGTGACTGAATTGAGTGTAAGGAACAGAGTTAAGCAAGATTCTAATAAATATTCTCATTTATGATTTTCTGTTAAAATGACTACATTCTCTATAGCATTTAACCTTAGATTAACTTTCAGATGCTAGTTAGCACTATAACAACTTACAATAAGGAAAGTAATATAGGTTCTGATTTGTTTGTTAATAATTTATTTGTTAGCACATCTGAGTCTCGTATTGTTAGGAGGAAAGTTAACAACTTACAATAAGGAAAGTAATATAGGTTCTGATTTGTTTGTTAATAATTTATTTGTTAGCACATCTGAGTCTCGTATTGTTAGGAGGAAAGTTTACAACTTACAATAAGGAAAGTAATATAGGTTCTGAATTGTTTGTTAATAATTGTTTTGTTGACACACTTTCCTCCTAACAATACCAGACTCAGATGTGTTAACAAATAAATTATTAACAAACAAATCAGAACCTATACTACTTTCCTTATTGTAAGTTGTTAACTTTCCTCCTAACAATACCAGACTCAGATCTTAAGTTAAGTGTTTAAGCTTTCTTTAAAAAAACTTCATAATAATAATTTTTTTTTTAAAATATAATTTTCATAAAATATGTGCGTGTTTCTTAATTGTGCAGCAAAGTTTGACACTGAAGTACTTAAATTTTCAAATCTGAAATCTGAATTAAAAAAAAAAAAGGTGGTTAATTAGTTAAGGTTGCTTATGTAAGATGGATAGTAGATGGTTTATAAATTATTGTTGAACAATTTATATAATTATAGTTTTTATTGATATTACTCAGACTTATGAGTTTTGTAGACTTCACCATCGAAGACTTATCAACCTATAGGTATTGTTAGATAATTAATATTTAAATTTAGCTTTGTGAACACTTAAGAGGAAAGAATCTTATCTTTAACAATAATCTTGAAATTCGTTTTAAATTTATAAAAAAGTTTTCATTTACTGGTAATTAAAACTTGAATTATATGGTTTAAGGGAAGTGTAATTGGAAACACCCATTAAGTTTCAATAAAGGAGCTTGTACACGATATCTCTAAAACCAACATTTTAGCTCTTGAGAAAGCTTTGCATTGAACATGACCATGATCTCAGAAGTTTATAATATCTTGCCCTGCTTTATAATACACATGAAACCAGACCTGGAATGTGTTATCCGTACATAGAAAGCTTTGCATTGAACATGACCATGATCTCAGAAGTTTATAATATCTTGCCCTGCTTTATAATACACATGAAACCAGACCTGGAATGTATTATCCGTACATTAAACAAATTACTTCAGAAACATGCATACTGTAAGTTTTATTTTTAAGGTGACAACTCCGTTATTATCAAAAATTTGTTTCATATTTTATAATATTTAGTTTTCATGCTTAATGTTAAATATCTAAAGATGTAATAAAATTTTGCCAGAGTATTAGTTAGATTTTACCAAGATAAAAAAAACAAAAACATCTGCAATATGTGAAATTGAAAAGAAAATTTAATAAGAAATTTTGATCTAAACTTTATTATTCACTGATTTAATTCTTTGAAAGAGGTTATTGGTGTTTATATGAAATATTAAAGGTTTGTGTATTAAAACTTTACTGATAAATTTAATAGAATCAGGAGAGAAACTAATACATTTAAAGATAATTTTGTATATTATTTTATGTATTTTTGTTGCACATATTTATTTGCATTAAAACAATAATCAATATAAGCCTGTGTTTCAGCATATCCTCCAAAAATTGGAACAGATGGTTTGAGGAGATTTGGTATCTCATAATTCTGGGGATTTAAAATTTATTTCAGTGACAATTAACAGCTTATTAACTTATCACAAAGTTATCAGTTGTAATAGAAACAAAATATTTTGTCAAAACAGGACAATCACTACATAACAAATTTTCAGGACAACTAGGAGTGTTTTTTTTTTTGGAACAAGAACACGTGAATTTGTAGGTGACAAATGCTACCTGTTCTTCTAAATGATATCTTTTTAAAAAGAAATGTCTTTTCGTAGAATAAGCTTTGGACAACACATACAGTAAAAGGTCTAAACAACGAATTTTTTCCACACCTTTTGACGAATGTTAATTTTAAAGTTTTAAATTAAAAAACTATGTTTATTTTAATTCATGATGTAATGAATATTTTTCACACAAGCAGTAAGAACCATATTATTTGATATGTGTGAAGTTACATTTTTCTGTGGTATTCCACTGGCTTGTATAATATAAAAACGTACTCTGTAATGTATTTAATTTTTAGAATATATTTGGTAAGGCAATTTTTTTGTCAATTGCTGGTGTTTTTAATGGTAATATTAAAGAAAAAACTTTTTTTTTCTGTACAGAAATTAATAAAGCAGTTTAAATGAACTATGTATTAGTAGCTCTGAATCTATATTGAAATATATATACCAAGAATCGGTATGGCAGTATTTCAAAAGGGTGCAAAGTATTGCTATAGTATTTTGAAAATATGTTGCATAGATTAATAAAACAATACATGAAAATAAAATATAATAAAGATTAAATTAAAATATCGTCTATTTACTTACCTGATAGGACAAAAGATTCTCGATTTTTTTTTAATCGCTGTTTGTTTTTATTTAATCAATATAATGTTTTTTTTTTCTGCATGTCTTTGAAATATTTCTTTTTAGGCATGAAATATTTTAGAATACTATAGCATTTTTTGTATTTTTTCTAAATATGAAGACCTGAAGTGCACATAAAAATGAGTTGGCATTTAGCCTAGACAATGATGATACACTCGTTCAGGTTCAACAAGAAACTACCATAATTAGCCTAGGCAATGATGATATCTTCGTTCAGGTTCAACAGAAACTACCATAATTAGCCTAGGCAATGATGATACATTCATTCAAGTTCAACAGAAATACCATGATTAGTCTAGGCAATGATGATATCTTCATTCAAGTTCAACAGAAATACCATGATTAGTCTAGGCAATGATGATATCTTCATTCAAGTTCAACAGAAATACCATGATTAGTCTAGGCATACAAAATGAATACAAACTGTTTTAATCATTGTTACAATCTCTTACAATCTCTAATGAGGATCTCTTTTTTTTGTTACGAGCCCCCCCCCCCGTTACTATAACTGTAAAAATCGCGCTACGTTAGTGTGTTATAAGAGTGATGGTCAAATCCCACTATTCTGTCTGACAAAAGTTGGCGATGTGGGTAGTATTCAGTAGTCGCCTTCCCTCTAGTCTATCACTTTAAAATTAGAAACGGTTATTGCAGACAGACTTCGACTAGCTTTGTGCAAATTTAAAACAATATTTATTACACAGGATTTAAAAGCTGTACATTTTACTTCGTTTTGAATTTGACATTTTCTTCCACACGACACCGTCTCTATGAAAGTTTTATTTTTGTGTCTGGACTCTTGATGTTTCTGTTCAAAGTGCAAAAAAAATATGATTCAAAAGTTGTCGTGTGAAGTTTCTGTTCGGTCACTAAGAATTCTTGTTTTCGAAATAAATGGGTCAGAAGAATAACTTTACAAGTATTAGTTTTACAACCTTTAGTGAAACGGCATCAAATGATCAAAAATCGTTAAGCTGCTTTTCTCGGACGCTTTCAAAAGAAAAACAAAACAGTAAAGACAAGTACACTGTATCAGTTTTATTAATAATAGGGGCCAAGCATGGAATAGCGATTAGGGTGGTTCACTGTGGATCAAAGTTTCCAGGTTTGTGTCCCGTTATTGAAACAAAATTCACGTTCTGCACTTTGGGGCCATGGGTGTGTTATAAGAGTTGGTAGTCAAATCCTATAGTTCAGTTAAAGCAGCACGTGAGTTGGCGGTGGGCGCTGTTGATTATTTGCCTCCTCTGAAGTTTATCAGTCCAAAATTAGGGTAGGCTAGTGCAGATGGCCCGTCTATGTAGCCTTATGCTAGTATCTGAAACAAACATACTTTTATGCAAATTATTTGACTGTATAGTTAGCGTGTCGGGCTACTTATCGAAGGGCCAAAAGCTCTATATGTGATGCTGTCGATTACCCACCACACTCTTTGGCGTGTGACGAACAATTTCCTCATTCGGCCCTTTATGGCAGCTACATATCAGCCCTAGAGGCCACATAGCACACTTGCGTGTAAGGTGTCTTTTTCAGGTCGAAAATTCCAATTCATGTAAATTTTTTCTATTAATTGTAATTATGACGTCTCCTAATAGATTATAAAACATTGATTTAAAAATGCATTTAAATATTTTTTCATTTATTATTGCCCCTAATGGCGCAGCGACGACAAATCGTTTGTTACTAGCCATCGTTCATTTCGCATGCAATCTCGCAAAGGTGTCGCTAGGTGCTTAAAAGACTGGGGTCTCGTGCCCAGAACTAGCAAAAATTCTCGGCGTTTCAGCGTGATATCGTGGTTTTTCTATTCTGATTTGTTTTGGAATTTCCTCACTGGATCTCATTTTCAAACCGAAAAACTTCGACTAGAATCGGCTGTTTTCCAGATTTTTTATATTATTATAATACCTATTATAACCGGTATAAGGTTTATATTAAAGATATATATATATACACCTGGAAAAAGTTAAGCACCCCCGTGTTTTTTTCAAGTGATTCAGATTCGTACGTTCTTGTGACTGATTATAAATTACCATTCAATCTAAACGTGTTTATCAAATGAAATTATGCATTATTGGGCACAAGAAAATAAGATTATCACCGTAAAATA